CATTTTTCTTCTTTCTTTTTCCTTTTAAACAACAGTTTGAAATCCTTCTTTTGTGTCTTACCACTTTTCTATTCTGAAGAGGGAAACAATTTCCATCCTCTATAGTTTCATGTGAAAACTCTGAAGTGTGTACACGACCCAATATAGGTGGGTATGTCTGAGTGTAAAACATAACGTGACTGTGTGCAGACATATCGGGTGCAGAGTGTATAAGCAGAAAAATGAAATATTTTTTTTTCCCCCAATTTCACAGCAGATACTGCAACAGTGTTTTAAAATAGCCAAATATCTCTGTGACAGAATTCCCTTCCATTAGGAAAGTGAGTATTCCTTTGTGTATCTTGGTGATCTTAATCCTCTGAAGGTATTTTTAATCCCTGTCGAACACTGGCATTTTAACTTTGCTTAGTAGCTGTATTAATAAGACTCTTTACAAACAAAAAGAATTCCAGTGTTTTCCTAGCATAATTAAATGATAAACCTTGAAATATTTGCATGTGTCTTGCTTGTGCACAATGTATATAGAAGATGAATCAGAGAACCTGCTGGATGTAAGGAGTTATCTGAAAAAAAAAACAGGACCAAATTCTAAGGGTTTTTATTACTAAAATATACCGATTTTAATCACTGTCATTTTACTTTATGCTAAAAGCATTTATAACACAACACATCATTACTGCTAAACGGGGAATTTGAAGGTGTGACTACAATAGGTAGGTACACAGTGGCACTGCCCCAGGTTGCCTCCTAGGCACTGTTTTTGGAAAATCCAGTAGTCTTTCAGATGATGCAGCCACCTTTTCCTTTGAGAGCTTCTTAAGTCTCTACAGTAGGAGTACAGAAAAACATTCAGCTGTAATCTGAATTGGCATCCTGTAAATCCGCAGCATCTGCTATGAATTGAAAGACTTCAGTATGATTTCAGGCTTTTTTATGTTGAGGATAAAGAAAACTCATGTGTATCCAGAAGTTCTGTGTTATAGCTTAAGTCCAGTTGCCTTTGCATCTAAAGAGCTGGAATGATCTTACTATCAAAGAATAGGTCTCACTGACATAGAATCAAATCATTTCAGTTGGAAAAGACAGTCAAGATTATCAGGTCCAACCATCAACCTGACCTACCATGTCCTATCACTGAACCATGTCCCTTAGTGCTGTATCTACTCGTCTCTTAAATACTTCCAGGGATGGAAACTACACCACTTCTGTGGTTAGCCCATTCCAGTGCTTGACCAAAGGCGGATGAGAGGTTAGACAGACAGGATATGAGTTACAGACAAGGGAGCAGCAATGTCTCAGTAATTGCTCTGTTCTCTGAACTGGGATCCACGGATGTTGTGCAGTGAAATAGAAAGTGGAACATCTTCCTTGTCACTCTGATGTAGAGGACTTGAAGCTGGGCTGCTGAACCACGTTATCCAACACTCCAATTACTGATAGATGCTGCCATCTTGTTCTGCAATCCGTATTTCAAACAACCATAACCAACTTGCCATTGTGCCTGTTTCCCTTTCCCAGTTCTCATGTGGTGCTCAGCAAGACCTGTCTGACATCTGCCATACCTGGATCAAGTGCTGTGTTTGGCTCCTTCCAGATACATCAGCTTCTTCCCATCTTGTTTTCATTTCCAGTTCTTTCTCACCTTATGTCCCATATGCTGCTCTTGCTTTCTTCTGCTGTTTCTGTGAGATCATTGATACAGATGAGGTGCCACAGTTCACTGTATCGGTGATGCTGTAGTAATTCTGAAGTCATTAAAATGTGAGCTTAAATCTTTCTAAATAAACCCTTTTTCTTAATGTTGGTGTAAATGAACGTGACAGGCAGATGCAAGTGTGCAGCTCTACAAGCCTTGCTCTGGAAGCTGTGCTCAAGCCTCTACAATCCTTCCTGTTAATCTGCCAGTATTCAATGTGCCTGGCTTCTTTCCAGTAGCAGTAATTATAGTGAGAACTTCAGGCTTGTGCTTGCTCTTTCTTGAGCACCTTTAATATCTAGAATATTTAGGAATGATAAGCCTTACTACTTAAAGGAAGGCAAATCGTCAGATTTGGTGGCAGTAAGCTTTAGTAGTCCCTAAAGGAAAAGAGAAGCATTGTCGAGGTGCAGAAACAAGACTACTGTTTTTGTGAGTGTGGAGTGTTTTGTTTTGAACAGTCTTGTCTCTCATGCCAGTAGTCATGACATTCAGTAAACTGGTAGGGCACAAAGAGAGGACCTGTTTAAGCATAACTGCAGAAAAAGAGTGTGTGAACCTGCAGAAATTTTCACCATTTTGGATTTTCTTCAATATTTCATCATCCGTTTGTTGGCTGTGGCACGCCTTGCATTTCACTTTGCATTATTGCAACTGAATTGAGGAGGAAGAGGGAGGGATGAATTATCTCCAGGGACTGTTTTTCTTGAACTGAGTAGTTTGAGTAGTTGGACACTGCTTTCCAAAATATTGTGCTAAAAAAACTCAACAAACCAGTGCCAGAGTATTAGATCTTTATTTTCTTAAAATCAGCATCGGAAAATAAATGGTTTTAATATGGTTAAGGTTACGTCTGACTTTAGGTTTACTCATTAGTTTTACAGGAATGACAAATTCTGTCCAAAATGGTCAACATCACTGGACAGAAACTTTGTTAGCTGTAACAGATGGGCTGGAGCAGCTCCTCCAGAAGGACTGGGGCAATCAAAGCTGTGATGCAGGCAACCTGGCAGCTGTTTGAGAGGCTTTTCTGGGTGGTTGATTGAGAGCTACAAAGCCTGGTGTGATCTCCTGCTACTGAGTGAGCTAACCTGGGACCTGATGCTTTTGAAATTGTCTTGAATTTTCTTTTTCTACAAACAATAGATGCAGGCATTTTTAAAATGAACATAAAGGTGGGAGAGGAAAGTGTGTGCAGGTTACATTTCTGCACATTTTCAGTGAAAAGATTAGTCCAGGGAAAGGTCTGTGGAAATGCCTGAGTTGTTTTTTACTCTTGATAGAAGAGCTTCATAGTTTTGACATCCCTGGAAATATCAATATTAAAATCTTTTGGTGTGTGTCTGACTCAGTTTGTTTGGTTTTGTAATTGTCTGTATTTTTCTGCTTCTAAAGATGAAGTGCTTGCTTTAAAATTCCGAGGAGGTGTGTGTGTGTGCTTTTGTCATTTTTTGTACATTTTAGAAAATAAATTAGGACTGCCAAACTTTGTCACTGACATCGCATTTCCTGTAAGAGCTGCAGTATTTACTGTGGTTGTATAATATCACAGCCTGACCTTTTTCTGCCACACAGTTTTTCTCCTTGTCAGGAAGAAATTAGCAAGAATCGTGATCTTGTTGCATTAATAGGCAGTTAGGGTTGCACAGGTTGGTATTAAAAGTGGGAATTCTGAAATAGCTTGGCATAAGCAAATATATATTTAGTACTTATCTATGCAAGTATTCCTTTTAAATTTCTGAAATTTGATTGCTGTGCTGTAATAAACATTAGCATCATGCCCAGCAGCCAAGCTGTGTCAGCGTGTTATTTGGATTTACAGATTACAGATTTCCCTAATTTGTTTTCCATAGAAGTGAAATACGTTACTTGTGGGTAAGCAGTGAGCTTCTAGCTGAGAAGGAACCATTGCAGAAAGCAACTCGGATGAGTGTCGGGTGTGGAAGGCGCCTGTGTGTGTGTGACTGGAACTGAACATCTATGTGCTATTAAGTCATTTTTATTCTTTGCTTTTTTAACCATATAGTACCAATATATTACATGTTGCTGTGTCTCAAGGACGCAGTCTGTTCTTTCAGACAAAATGAGCCTAAAAGAGATGTTCCAGCCGTTAGGTTGTCCGTGGAGCTCTGAAAGCAGACAGCAGGCTCTGTTACAAGCAGTCACTGAACCCGCTGTCCATCATGGGTTGTGGGTTTGAAATAAAAAGCAATTTATGCTTAGAATTAAAAACATATTGATCAGTGAAACTTCTAGGGGAAACACATCTGGGCATTAAGGCAATGGAGTGGCTTTGAAAGCAAGCTGCATTTTGACCGAGGGAAAAAAGAAACCAGAGCTTTGATATTTTTGGCAGTTATTACTGCCTGAAAGCCCGTGGGCTGTTAAGTATTTGAATGACAGAATATTCTGTGTTGCAGTTGGCACAAATTAACAGAACAAGAAGAAAACTGCTTATGCAACGCAAACAAAGCTGCTCATGTGTTTTCCTGAACTCTCCTTGGGAACACAGGTGCAGTATCTGTATTCATCCAATCTCTGTGAAAAGCAATAGGAGATTTCCTTTATTTATTCCTTCTGTTTTCATTTTGCTCAGCTGAGTAATATGTAAGTTACCATTTGGGTGGAATGGTCAATTCCTTCTAAAAAGAAACAGAAACTTGTGTCAAATGCTCCTGGCTGGCGCAGATTCACATTCCTGCAATATGGTGCTAATGTGTTTCAAGACGATGGGATTTTGGCTGGACAGAGGTGATGCAATGAGCACTGTGAGGCACTACAGCCGTAGGGGAATAAAACTACACAGCCTGAAACCTAAAGGAGGTTGGGTGGGGCGGTTGTGATGTATTGGGTGCCTTAGACTACTTCTGTGTGACTTTTAATAGGTGCAAAAACGTATTTCATGTTTGAGCTGTCTTTCCCTAGACAGTACACTGCTGCAATCCCACATTCTGGCAGGAAAAAAAAAAAAAAAAAAGCATAAAAAATTGCATAAAGCAATGGCTGTGCAGATTTGTTTAAATAAAAAGTGCAAACCTAATTTCTGGCAGAATATGATTGACCATGGGAAATGCAAACAGCCAAAGGAATGGCAATTCATCTCTCAGTGTCCTTCGGTCAAAACTTCAGCCAAGCGCAAGCTGTGCCATGGCAACGCCTGGTTTCCCCCTGTGGTTGGTGTCAGGCTGGGGCCGCATTCACAGGAGCTCACACTTGGCGTTTGCTGTCATCTCCTTTGATTTACAATCGGAGCATAACGGGAGGCAAACTGATGCCAGTGATGGCTGTGTCCTTCTGCCTGCAGGTACTACAGTGCGACCATCCTGCAGATGTCGGGGGTTGAGGATGACAGGCTGGCCATCTGGCTGGCTGCCCTCACGGCCTTCATCAACTTCATCTTCACTCTGGTGGGAGTCTGGCTCGTTGAGAGGATGGGCCGCCGGAAGCTGACACTGGGCAGCTTAGCAGGTGAGTGCCTCGGGAGTGAGATGTGCCCTCCTTGTGGTAACGTGAATGAAACAAGGACGTTCCAAGCGCTAACTTGATCAAAATAATCAATATCAATGATCAATAATCAATAATGATCTTCAAACTAATGATGTTGACTCCTGTCTCCTCACTGAAATCATGTAGCTTATCAAGAATAGCAGTACAATACAGCTGGCAGTCTCTGCTGAACATGTGAAGGCTGTGGTATTTCCAAGACCATGGTCTGGAAGAAGGAGAGAGATTCTTGCTCCTCTTGGATTAATGCTCACAGCTGCTTAACTGGCAAGCTTGAATGTCTCTGTATCTCACAGTGCTGTCCTGTGTGGGATCCAGACTTGCTGTAGATGTGATAGAGCAGAGAGGAATACCTGCCAGAGTCCTGCCCACTTGCAGTCCCTCCAGAACAGGTATCTGTCTGCCCAGAGCGTTTGGATGCCTTCTTTTAGGCCAAACAGTGATGGCAGTATTGCATGTATTTTTTTACAGCTACCTAAACTGGTATAACATGGACTTGTGGCATGTTTGGTATTTCCGGATTGTAAGAAGTCTGTGTTTGATGTGTTGTGATGTTGATTTGGAGCTGAGAAACCCAAAATGTTTTTCATGATCCAAGTCCATGGATGTGGAGGGAGGTTGAGAAAGCACATTCCTCACATCTTAAAAAAATGACCAAAAAAATCTCAGAGGGTTACCTTTATGTAGAATCATAGAACGGTTTGGACTGGGTTGGAAGGGACTTTAAAGCCCACCAGCCCCAACCCCTGCCCTGGGCTGGCTGCCCCTCACCAGCTCAGGCTGCCCAGTGCCCCATCCAACCTGGCCCTGCGTGCCTGCAGGGATGGGGCACCACAGCTCTGTGGGCAGCTGTGCCAGGGCCTCACTGCCCTCTGAGTAATAATTTTCCTCCTAACATCTAACCTAAATCTCCCCTCTTTAATTTCAAAACTATTCCCCCTTGTCCTATCACTATCAGATTGTATACAGAATCAGCCTCCATCTTGTTTGTAAGCTTTGTTTAGATACTGAAAGGCTGTAGTGAGGTCTCCCCAGAGCCTTTTCTTCAGGCTGAACAAAGGAGGACAATCACCTCCCTATCCCCGCTGGCCACCTCTCTGTTGATGCAGCTCAGAATACTGTTGGCCTTTGGGGCTGCAAGCACACACTGTTGGCTTGTGTCCAGCTTTTTGTCCACCAGCACTTTCAAGTCCTTCTCCACAGGGTGGCTCTCAAGGAGTTCTTCTCCCAGTTTGTACGCGTATCTGGGATTGCTCTGACCCAAGTGCATCACCTTGACCTTTGGATGACATCCTTTTATCAGCCCACCTTCGGATCTGTTAAACTGCTTTTCCTCTGCGAGTTCTTTTGTGTAGCCAGTATCACATCTTTCAGAGAAAAAAGCCCCAGCCCTGTACTGTTACCTGGCTCAATTCCGTTTTTCCTTTGATTATCTCTTTTGTTTTCTGCTTTTTTTTTCCTGTGAAATACAATTCTAGCATTCTCCTGAAACTTGTTTTGTGAGCATTATCTCTCATTTACACTCTAATAGAATTCATTCTGTTTTTATATATTTCTCTGTTATGCCATGACACCTCATATGTCTGGCCAGCCCTATGGGGGTTCACTGCTTGTTTGCAACCACCATACAGGTGTGATTACCATGTGGATTTTGTACACAGTCACTGAACTCTTCTTTTTGGCTCTGGTTGATGTATTCAAAGGTTCTAAGATTGAATGTGGATAGTAATGTGTCTTGTAAAGCATATGAGTCATGGAACAGATGAGAGGATAGAAATAAGACACCAAATTAGCAAAGGAGAATAACACAGTTAAGGGTTATTTGTTTATGGTATTTGGACATGAAGTCATTAGTAATGATATTTGTGTTCCTTGTTCTGTAGTTGGCGGCCCGCTGTCAGTCCTGCAGCTTCACTTGATCCATGCTGCATTCTCACTGTGCTCAGTATTGCACGGTCTCTGCTTAAGGAAAATATGGCAGCAATAATGACAGTAATGAAATCCCACATCATGTCTGTGCTATTTAGAATTTCTTGATACAAGTGTTGACAGACATTTAGGTAGTGGTGAGTATGATGTTCTTTTCTCAGCAAGTGGGCTAACATGAAACTAAATCAGCTGGTGGATTTGTTTTCAACAGTAACTTTTTTGTCTCGGGTAAACTTCTATATTACTGCGGTACTTCGGTTTATGGTTCTAAGGAAATCAATTTTCACATGGAGTTATTACACTGGGTGCTCTTCTTTGGGGAAAGCATGTGAGCCCCAGTACAGAATGAGAGTTGGACTGCTACCTCTGCCTGCTGCTGCAAGGCTGCTGGTTTTATTTTTTTTGTAAAGGCTAATGGATTTGATGTTTTTGTAAAAAGATGGTAAGATTTTGATTAAACATCAACACACTCTTAGTTACTGATTCCTCTTAATTTCCCCTTTATGTATCTTGGCAAAGATTCTCCATCTTTCCTCTGTGTATTTCTTTTCTCAACTTTATTCATTGTGAAATGTTGGAATTTTGGTAAGTGCAGTATCCCATTTTATTCGTGTTTTCCTTTCATTCCTTCAGAATCGGCAATCTGAAAGCATGGTGGTATTTGGGCATTTGACAATTTGTAATTTTGTTTGTAGCAGAATGGATCTAGAATATCTTCAAGATATTTATCCTTTTTTTTCATCTCAGTTAATGGCATACTACAACTGTATGTTTTAGTGAATCTTAAACCTTCCACAGAATGGCAACATATAATAAACTTAATTCACCAATTTTATAATTCAGTACTTCTCCAAAGAAATAAGACGTGCAGAGGTACTGCAATGCACATTTGTGTATTCAGTTAACTTGAAAGAAAGACATGACGTATTTAGAATGAATATAAATAAGATTAGGGGCCCTCTCTAAATATATTGACTGTCTGGTTCATGGCATTTTGAAAGCTTAGTAAATACAGAAAGTACAGTAAATCTGGTACAATATTGCACCTGGCCAGAAAAATGGAATTATCAGCATAGCTGGTCGCCATAGCAGTACAAAACCCAGTATAGAATAAATTCAAATGATGTTTTATGGTGGATAGTTGCTATCTCAAATATGCTTTGTGATTGAATTTACGATGTCAGTTGCCTCCATTCAGGTAACTGCGTTCCAGTAATCTTGAGTTCATGCATATTCGTATCTATTAGCCATGGCTGCTGCACAGACATGTTAATGAATTATATTTTTATTATCTTGGTGCCTAAGATATTATTTATACTTCAGAAAAAAAAATCCTATTCTTGAAGGATTTGCCTGCTAGAAAATTCTTGTTGAGAGAGAAAAAACTAAGAATCAGAAAGTAAAAATGGAGAATGTGTAATTGTTAAAGAGTGAGAAGAGTGACACATTAAGGTTTTCAATGCAGTGACATTTTTAAAGGTTTGCACAGGTGCGTTCTGTGAATTTCTATCATGTACAGCAAGGGCTTGCTGAGGCATCTTCTTGGATTGAATATTCTTATTTGCCCTCAACCATTAAGCTGTGACATTGCATACTTCAGAATGCACTACAGCCTTCCAATTGGAATGTGCTTTGGTGGTGCCTGAGTCAGTCTTTGCATGCTAAGGAAAATGTGATTAAACAATCAGTAACTAATGCACAAATAAAGTTGTAAGCAGTTCTGTATTTTTGGTCGTCTGTACATGATGGTCTATGGGACCTCTCAAAATACACCTACTTGTGTACTTGCTATTCATGTGACAAAGAGTGCATTTTATTCAACGCAGAAGTAAATGCCTCACCAAGTACCAAGACGTAATGATTTCATTAGTCTGAGTTCAAGTTGGTTGCAATACTCAGTAATGGATTATACTGATGTCATTAAAATGATGCAGCACATGCTGTGTGTGTGTGTGACAAACAGCAAAGCTGCATAGAGCTCAGGCAGTGACCTGTTTTACAAAGTAGGAATCTTGGGCGTGTTCAAGAAATTTGTTGGAGCCAGGAGCAAAGAGGTGGAGGGGGCGCTTTCCTATCAGGTTTGTTACATGCAATCCTTGAAACAAGAAGTTCAGAAACTGCAGCTGGACATTTTGGTGGCATTCTATGAATAGTCAGATTTCTCTTATTTGACAAAGGGAAGAATAATTGATGGAAAAGCTGATGCTATTTTCTGTCTTCTGTCTTCAGGAAAGCCTGCAAGTCTGGGAATGGGAGGAAATGTGATGTAAACACTGCTTGTTAAATTTTACCTTTGCAGCACTTTTCAACACTGAAAAGAGTTTCTCTGTTCATTCAAGCAGCCTTCAATTAAGCATATGACAAAAAAGTCTTGACCTATTAATTGAATATCTGGATGTTAAACCTGATTCACTTGACTTTAATGTCTAACCTAATTCAAGATGAAGATGTAGTATAAAGGGTATTTTCAGGTTCTCATCACAGCTGCTCTGCGTAATGGCAAATGCCGTGTGCATAATAATTGGGTACCTTGCTTTCTGAAGCGTAGCCCAGTTCAATAGAGAATTATTTCATGTTTTCTGGAGAAAAGTATCACATTGTTCTTTATCTGTATTTTTAGGCACTGCTGTAGCACTCATTATCCTAGCTTCGGGATTTTTGCTGTCAGCTCAGGTCTCGCCAAGAGTCACACTTAATCCACCAGATCCTTCACATCAAAACTCTACCTGCACAAAATACAGGTGAGATTTCATGGTCTTTCTTGAAGACTTTTTTTCCAGCTAGTTGCATTTTACAGCCTCGTGTGGGCAATGGATAAGTATTCACACACTCTAGTTTAAGGAATTAAGTAGGATACCTGAAGTTAAAATCTTTACTTCCCTCAATAGAGAAGAAAATTAGACTCTTTGTTTAAATGCTGTGAATAATCCTTTGTAGTTTCTTGGATAAAGTAGAGCAGTTAAGCACCAGACTGCACACTTCAGATCTTCTTTGTTACATCAGACCTGCTGAAGTTCACAGTGGACACCAAGTTTGAAATATTTTAAAAGCAATTTGCAAATATGGTTGCTGTTATTAGTCTGCTTGGAGAGTCGTCATCTGTAACAGCTGTGAACTGTTCAAAAAGACTTGTTCCTTGCCTTTTGTTTTAGCAAACAAACAAACAACAAACAACTTCCCAACAATTACAGACCAATTAACAGTTAAACCTGATTTTTTGACTTTTTATTCTGTAGTATATAAAACATTCCCAACTGTATGCAGTTGTGGTTTCAAATAAGACAATTTCTAAGGTATTATGAATGTGCCATTTTCTATATTTTGTGTTTTCTTACTCATGTGAGTGACATTCACCAAATTGGCAGGCTGGTAAATGTCAGTGCTCTAATTGAGACAAAACTGGCTACGTGGCTGGAGAAATTCTGAAGTTCAAAACATGTTGTACATGTATTGGTTAGAGACATAAAACTGAGAAATGAATGGTAGTTTCTGGTCTTCTAGAGGTCTTGCTTAGAAATATGGCTCAAGGCTTTTCGTATGCTACAGCAATGATTCTGAGGAACTGAAATTTCACAGGCCCATGTGGACAGGAAGGAAAGTGTTCAGATGAGTACACAGATGCTAATACTACCAGAGATGGGGATCACAACTTTCAAAAGCTGTGTTTTTACTTTTTTTCCCACTGCGATGTCAGCTATATTGCTATTTTTTAGATACGCCTATGCAGTTTTTTAGACTACAAGTAAACTAGTTAAAGAATGAAGAGGGGGAGAAGAGCTTTCAAATGCTCTCCTTTAAGAGTAAGATAATGTTAATAGCAAGATGTCAAAAGGATTTTCCTCAGACTTTGGTTAACTGTTTGGACAAGATATCTGGAGACAGCTGATGTTGCAGAACTTGTTATTTGCTATCTGATGAAAGTAGGTGATTTTATAACCTGAAACAGTGTACAGATGTACATAAAAGAAATATGGGTAGTTCACATTCAGTATTGTGAGCACTTCTAGCTAAAAATGTGACTAAATAAAGCAAGTAATTCAAATAAAAGCACATTATTTAATGATTATTGGAATGCTTTAATCTGTTGTGATTTCTGACATAAAAAGAGCAAAAGCAGATATGATAATTCAAGAGATCTAGATAAGAGCAACAAAATCAATGACACATTTTCACATGGGTGCATTTTGAAAAAGAATGAGCTCTCAGACAAAACTCAACATAGTGTTACATAGTGTAAAATGTAAAATAGTGAGCAGTGTATGAGAGACCTTTAGGAGCTTTTATTTTCATCTTGTACCATAACTTTGGAAAGAGACACAAAAGCCAGGTGAGATGATACTAATATATGTAACAAATCATAGAATTAGGCTACAGCACCCACTCTTTAAACAGACTCAATAAAAAACAAGCATTTACATCGTGAGCGATGACTTTCACACACGTGTATAAAAATTCATATATTTGGGATATCAATTTTCCTGATTTAAAACATCCCCAAACTTCTTCAGAATAATGAATTTCAGTGTCCAGAATAGAAGTCAATGGCTGCTTGCTTCTGTCTCAGTACCAGAAGCCTCAAAATTCCAAGTGTTTTCAGCCCAGATAGCAGGAACTGCACAAAATGCTGTTCTCTTTTTTAGCATAGATCAAGGGAAGAAGAAACGATTTTAAAAGCATTTCATCCCCAGTGATATCCCCAGTGCACCCTGGTTTCAGCATGTCTTTCTGCTGAGCTTTTGTAGCTATACAGAGAGCATACAGATTAATTTATTCCTTTACCTAGATTATTTTTGGAGTGGATGACATAGTATACACTGTATACACCTTGAAGAAGTGGCTGTTTGAGATACCAGTCAGCTGCTATCTGTGTAAGTGAAATTAAATTTTAAAAAACATTTGTGTCATGAGCAAGCAGATGGCATCCTCACCAATCAACCTGTTAGAAGATGGGAGTTAGTTTTTGTACGTCCCCTGCAAGAGTTTATTGCTGTTTAATCCATATTTTGCTCACTTCAGTATAACTGCTGGTATCTCATCTTGCTTAGTATTGTACTTTGCAATCCTCTAATAGGTCTCAGGCACTTGTGGAAAACCAAAAGCCAGCAGGACTGCAGAAGATGAACACATAATGTCATGTCCCTGTGGCCACTGTAACCACTTTCAAATTCGCGTGCCTACACAAATGCAGCCAGCAGTCCTTCAGCTGGCGTGGTGCAGGGCTTCTCTGGGGTGAGGTGCACTTTCCAGGATCTACACCGTTGTGCAGATTGGGTGCTTCATAGTGTAGGGGGACTCCCACATATCACTTTTATTTATCTTTGCCAAAATGTGTTTGAAAGTTAAAACAACACTAGCAAAATTTATTTTGCTGACAGAGGTTTTGCTGATACGGTGCAGAGTAAAAGTGCTTTTTATGTTTGCAGATCTGCTGGGTTAAAATAAGCATGAGTGTCCATGATGGAAGCCTTAGAACTACTACAAATAGCCTGTTTGTTTGTTGTTCCCTTGATCTGTATTCCTCTGCACAGATTAATTCCTGCTGCTGGAAGAATAGCAATGAAGATACAACGGACTGACAAAGAGCACTGACAGCATTCTGAAAAATACACCTAGGGCTTGAATACAGTCTTTTGAAAGAGCTGTGCCCTGCAGACAGACACATGTTTTTTGCAGAATGCAAACCAATAAGGTGCTCTGCAAATATCAAGTAAAATATTTTCATGTGCTGTAGAGAAGTACAATATGATAGTGGAGCAACAGTCAAAAAATAATGCATAAATCAGTGAAAAAAATCAAATGTAATCTTTACTCACAAGGTCATCATGGAGGCAGCACAAGTCTTGGCCATTGAAGGCCTCCACGTCTCCTCACAGCTGTCTCACTGAGGAAAGGAAAGGGGAACACCTTCCTACGTACTGCCCTTAAATCAAATTTTATTTTCACACTCAGCCCAGGTAAGGCTGTGCAGGTGTTCACAGCGTGACCACGTCTCTTCTTTGATCTGAGTCTGTTCAACAGAATAGCTGCAATCTATTACTTACCTTCAAAGACAGAGAGAAGTTCAGAGGTAAATTCAGGAGTACAGAACAGCAGGATTCCAAAATCTGTCATTGAGAAAAGATGAGCAGGTGTCTCCTGCTGTTTTCTTGAATTCTCAAAGCTATAAAGATGTTCCCAGTTTTATGGGGTCCTGCCTGCTTCTGAGAAGCGGTCAGGTCTAGGACAGGTGCAGTAGCTGGCTTCTTTTTCCAGTATTCAGCAAATCATAGGTGACCATCCCACTCCACCTTTCTTTGGGAAACTGAGCCATTTGTGAACAAAGATCATTGTCCTGTGTCCTTGTGTTCTTGGCCTTTTTATCTTCCTCCAGTCAAGTGTCTCTTTTACTGTACTGCTTAAGATTTGATCAGCTGTACAAGGCATAATTGGAACTTGTTCTGCTTAAGAAATGCTGCTGTGTGAAAATGGTAAATTTGGGGTTGATCTCAAGCTGACCCTGAGGCTCATACTGTAGGGAAATGATACCTGTACAGAACTTCCTAAGGTTCCTTCCCAAGCTGGTTGTCTTCATAGTTTCAGTAAAACAATGTGGGAAGCGCCAGCTGGGCTGGGCTCACAAGGATTCCCTTGTTCTTCTTTGACTTTGTCATCCTCACATGGTTCGAGGTCCTGAGTTCAATGTATGCTTATACAACACTGAGCTGAAGGCTCCAACACTGAGTGCTGTTACACATTAATTATACTAGATAGGCAATAGGCAAAAATCTGTACTTTCTTTATGGATTTTGCAAAAATGATTTATTGTGACCAGCCCTGAACTAAGACTGGTTATAGTGCTTTAAACAGCTTTAGTAAAAATAAAGTACATCCTCCATTAACAGAGTATTTAATATAAATAGAGCAAACTATTGTACTTTATTTTTCTGAGTTAACTCACTAACACTGGGAGTTCAGGATCCTTCAAAATGCCACTATTCCTCAGAACCAGTATTTTTAAAAAAATATGATTCTTATTAAAGTATAAATTCAGGAAGAAAGATCATCTGAGCTGAGAGAGGATAGATCCTCACATATGCGCAGATGAGATGCTCTGTGTGTGGGTCAGCATCCCAGCACACCAGCTGCTGGCAGGCTGCTTCTGGCAGCGGGGGTGCAGCCACGAGGACCTAAGCACGTCAGGTGTGTATATGCATTACCTCTCAGACCGTTAGCAGAGCCCAGCAAAAGCTTCTGTAGTTTAGTTTCTTGCAGTAGTGGAAAAATGCTTCTGAAGCCCTGCTGTGTTTTTCTCATTTGTGTTGAATATCCTATTTCCTGTGTCCCAGATATGGCAGCTTGAAGTAGTAGCTTGCAGTTTCCAAGGATTTAACTACAGTGGTATGTGATCAATCAGAATTTAATGATTGGCTTTTGGAAGCAACACAGGAATCATCAGAAGGATAAGGAAGTGCTTGTTTTTGTGCCTGAGGTGCAGCGAGGCACATGCAAACAGCACTAGACCTTGAACCCAAGTTCAGGATTAGGAGAAAGAGTGGAGGGCAGCAGGCACTCAACATTGAAATTTCCTCTATGGAGAAGACCCAGTCTGTCAGGGCATGAGGAAAATGTCTTGCGTGTTGTGAATGGATCAGATTTTCATAGTAATGTAGTTTTATAGCTGCAAAATGTGGAAGAGAAAGCTGAAAGTTCCTAAAAATGAGGCAAAAGTGAAAACTGATAAAATGTTTTGAAATTAACAATTGCAAATTTGAGGCATGTCTAGAAGGAATGTAAACAGCTTGATAGAAAGAGTAGCAGTGCTTGCAGAACAAGAACACTGGGCAAAGCTTTTTTACTACTGAATCACTCAAAAATTGGCAAGGTACAGTTTGCAGCTCGAATTAAGAAACCCCTGAGAGCTGTAAGAAAGCTATACTTAGAAATACTTCTATCAATATTAAAACACAAAATGTAGTGACAATCCAAACGTAAGTATGGACTACTCTGAACAGCTTAGGAAAGAAAAGTAGGGAGAAGCAATTGTCAACCTTTCCTTGGCATCTGGAGGACCATTTCAACAGGACAGAGATTTTATTTCACCTTCTTATGAGACCGCACCAGGGGCTTCTAAACTACACTGTTAGAAAGCAAGCAAGCTGTACTTTTGGTTCAGAAAAGGTGTGCACTGCCAGCTGATTCATTATACATATAAATACTTCAAATCCTCTCTGAAAGAGGAAGGAATTGTCAACTTGTAATCTCAGGAAAAAAAAGTTAATAGGGCAGGCTGCATCCTGAAAGCTTGTGTGCTCAGCCTGACAGGAAACTGCTAGCTAGAGACCTCAAAGCTAGTGCTGTCAGGCTTTCAAAGCTTCAGATATTCCCATTTGGTCAGATGAAAAGAATGTAAGAGCTTGCGAAGCCTCTGCTGAGTTGCCACCATGAGAGTGGGGAATTACAAGTCTGGGGACAGGCAGCCTCCTAACTGTCCGTCAGCTTGTTGGAAAATGTGCTTTGATGGTGAAGCAGTGTCCCAGAAATCCCATTCCTTGGCTCTTCCCAATAAACAGAGGGGCCAGGATACTGAGACTTCTGTTTTGAGGGCTTCATTCAACTGAGCTGCAAAGAAGCAGGGACTTCTGGAGCCTTGCTTTCCTGATTCTCTACTTGTTACTCTGTTAGGTAGGCTGAAGCACCTGAAGTCTTGCCTTCTTGTTGGCTTACCTAGGATCCAGCTGTGAGGGCACTAGGTGCACTGCAGAACCTTCCTGCTGCCTGGCTTCATCAAAATCAAACAATCTCTGCCAGATATTTCAATCCTGACAAACTGACATCTCACTGACAACATTCTGTCTGGGAATTTTCTGCTGGCTCTTCACAAAGGAGCCCGTTTCCAAGACGCTGCCTTGTAACCTTAGCGTGGAAATCAATATGTCCTGATAAAGTGCAGGAAATGTATTTCCTTTTTATAATTGGATGCAAATATCCTTCTTAACATAGACATCCTGATGTATTCTGGGATGGAGCTTTCAATGCTATAACTGGACTGCAGTGTGTATATGAATACGTGGCAGCATTTCTATTTTCTCTCTCATTATTCTGACATACAGTTGGGTATATCTGGGTAGGGCTGATAAGAAGGTACATTTGAGGACAAGGAGGAGATCAGTAGTCGATAGTTAGATGTCAGTAAGCACTGTATTGTACATTTCTTTTCCTGATTCATGGTGCTTCCTGATTTGTCTGCATCACATTTGTCTGCATGTATGCAAGAACATGGGCTCAAGTTTGAATTGTTTAAACATTTCTATTTAGCAAACAATAATAGGGCTGAAGTGAAGAAGAGCATAAGCCTGAAACTAACACATATTTTTGGTCTACTTTAATTTTTGGATTGTTAATCTGTTATGAGTAACAATAATCTCTGATTTTTGACATCACTTGAAATCCAGCAGCCTTTATCATGCTGAATGGCAACTGCAGGACACAGTTATGCACACTCATAAAGCCTGAGGATAGATGAAGTCATTAATAATCAGATTTTTATTTTTTCTGAACCAGTGGATGAAGAAGGAGTAATTAATGAGATAGGTTCTGCTTCAGGACTGACATCCATACCCAACTCTGCATATATTTATATGGAGTTATCTGTAGAGCAAGCTCAGTAGGACAGAATAAAGAGTTTAGTTTTGCCATTCATATTGTGTGTGGATTTTTGTGAGGATGCTGAGGTAGATGATGAAGTGTTCCATCCCTGTTCCATCTTTCACAGGGAACACCACAGGGATGATCCCATCATTGTGTATCACTGTCATTCCTGTGAGCTCTTGTGCTGTTCTGCCTGGTGCTGTGTACTGGGCTGTATTTCTGCTTGAGGTAAAACCCACGAAAAATAAATCTAGAGAACTTTCTATCCTGTAATGCTCCTGAGAGAACTCCTGCATATAACTTACATTTTAATGTGCCATATTTTCCACCTGATGTTCACGTTAAATAGAATTCGCATATATTTGACTTGAAAATCCACCACTGCATTGGATAGCACACGGTGTTTGGAGGTAGCAGCCTTCTGTGCCAGGAAGCCAGGCTGAATTGGAGCAGGAGTCTTTATAGAAATTTATTTTGTTAAAAAAATACTTTGATATACAACGTATCTGAAGTGGATGGCGTTCTGTGGTTTGAAAATCATATGCTAGCACCCTGTGTGACATCATAGGATGTCATTTTTTCCATTAGAGCTACTAATGAAAGTAGGTGTATTTAGTATTTATTTTGTAATTGTTGTTACATACCTGAATATTCGTGATTTATAAAAAATATAGATATTTAATCTAAAATATATATAAAGCATAAAAAAATTAATCTGCTATCTTCTGTTTCTGTTCTGTTTTGATTGCTGTCCATTGCTGTGATTAACAAAATGCAACTAACTTCAGATAGTGTAATATTGAAGTGTTCCTTTCAAGGCTTATAATTGCAGAGCTGTATTCTTTTTATCTATATACGCAAGAGAGGAAAGAAATCTTTACTGCTAAGAGTTGACGAAATTATTAAAAAAAAAAAGCCAGATGTTGAAACCTGAATTTGAGCTCTCAGTTACGCAAGAGGAAGGTGTACATTTAGTTTATCAAGAGCAGACAGTCTGGAAATTCTGCGATCATTTGGTAATTTAGAAAGCCTGCAGTAACAAAGAGTACATGGTGCTGAAACTTCAGAGAAGTATCAAAGTGCCTACTTCAAATTAATGCATTGGTTTCAGTGCTCTCCCAGACGTTTTGCCAAGTATCATACAAACTCACCTTATTATACCGCTTTGATATCGCTACACCCTCGTAAGGAAAGTTAGAATAACTCAGTGGTAAACGTGCTTTCGGATTTTTAAAATCCTTATAATCTATGTTATTGAATTAGATTTTGGAACTTTGTTATCCAGTCACTTTTACATTTGCTAATTACAGCGTAGTAGTTTTAGCAGATTATTTCTTCATTCACTGAGTCGTTGCTATGATAAAAAGTCTGGAAAAGTTTGCAGCCTTGTCACTTGAATCACTCTCGAGAATGCATTGACCAAACTTTGCCTCAATGTGAGCATTTCTTGCTCTGTAAGAATCCCAAGGAAATCTGAGATATATTTATGAAGCTGGCAAATATGATACACAGGAACAATCGAAAGAGCAGTGCTCGCCACAGTAAAGGGCAGATGGGATAGTGTGGGGCACTGGATGCCTCTATATGGATTGGCTCCACTGACATATTTACTCTGCCTAGAACTCATTGCCTGAGTTCTCACATGGAGATATAATTTCAGATGGACTCCCAAATCCATATGTGCCCAAATTCCTGGATTGATTATCAACTGTATGATACACAGTTCTTTCTATTCAACCACCATCTATCTCTGTTTTTAAATTCACAGTTGATTTCATAGGAGAATTCTCCTGAATCCTGATCAAGATTCACAGGGCTCAAGATTTGCAAGTAGTCTTGCCCTTTGCCGAAATGTCATGCAGATGAAGGAGAAAGTTATTTGTATTCCCTTTAGGGCCATTTCTATTATCTTGTCTTCAGCACTGACAACTTGATTATGTGCATCCCAAGAATGATTAGACAATGCTGTTGCCTTTGACAGTTACAAGTAAATAAAGTGTTGCTTAAGTATTTCTTTCTTTCTCTCTCTCTCAGTTACTGTAATGGATGTATGTTAGATCCAGACTGTGGTCTCTGCTACAAACTGAATAAATCAAGTGTTGTTGAGTCCTCATGCATCCCTGTTGACAAACATTCGACGATGAAAGCCGCTTGGGGCAGGTATGTTGCTTTTCAAGATCTTCTGGTCTTATGCTGTTCTTATGGCACACGTGCAGTCAAGAACACTTTCTCTTTTACATAGAATCTAGGATCTTCTGAAAGAAAAAAAGAAAAGCACTGTAAATAAATGGGCAATTACATTCTAACAAACGTCCTAAATAAAAGCGTTTATGCCAGTGGGTTCTGCATGTTCTGCCAGTTTTGCCATGGCAAAAGTATATCAGCAATTAGTTAAATTAACTTTCCCCAGAGGTCTTCATTTGTTCAAGGTGGCATATTCCCTAAATACACATTTCTACCCCCTGAATTAATTTTCTTTTTAAGTACTTTGATTAAGAAACATTCTTATTATTGACTTAATGAGGAAACCTTGTTGCTGAAGAATCTAAAATGGTAAAAATCTGAAAAGTTCAAATTGCCCAAAGCATGGTTTGCAGCTACGTTTCTGTGTTCCTGTGCTTAACATGGGAACATGATGTACAATGCACTTACCATGTAAAAATGCGTGAATTCAGTGAAATGTCCCAGTGTAACTGCAGAATACCCACTGATGTGCAAAATACATCACACCTCTTTTTCTTAAGCAGCACAGATTCCTGGTGAAATCACAGCACTTCCCAAGTTTGCTGAAGTATTGACTGTTCTTAAAGAATGACTTCAAGAGATGGAGTAAAGTCCTGGAATGGCTTTATCAACACTTCTAAAACCATCAGGGCTAGGCTTACACTGAAGAATGGTTCAATGGCACAAGAGAATTACTGCTGATAAGTGTGTAATTGCTGCTGATAAAACCTTCTTGCCATTCCTTATCTCTGCCACCAGCACACTATAAACATACTTGGAAAATATGCAGAAGTTTGTGTGGAGGCTTGGTCTTTTTTTGTTTGCATGTATTTCTCAGAAATTAAATCCAAGTGGGTAGCAAGTCATACTGGGCAGAGTTTGGAAGATATGAAGGTATCAGCGAATCGCAAAATGATTTAAAATGACTGTAAAACTGTCCTCCTTTTGATTTCAGCACTGTTAGGGTGTTATGCCTAGTGGCTCATTCCAGATGCAGAAAGAAGCCTTCATATTCTGTCAACATTCATCTCATTTATACTGTAATTTTAAGTACTATTCTTTACTTAGCAAAATCATAAAAGCACACAATAACACATAAATGGAAACATAAATTTGTAAGGTATAATTGGTAGATAAACTTTATTTGATAGTCTTATTATACGGCACGTGGAAAATGTAGGTATCAGTAATCCTTTTACATTTGTGATTTAGTCTCACAGAGCACTCCTTGTTGTACAGCCTACTGGAGCAAATTAGACAAGAAAAAAATATTTCAAGTTCAAACTGCAGAATACAGTATTTATATACTGTACAATAGTTTCACAGCACAGTGAGCCTGTTCAAAATCTTTAAATCAAAAACTCAAGTTTTAAATTTGTTATATTGATATTCATTAGAGTGAATTTCCTGCCTTAAGAAAGAAATCCAATGAAATAACTACATTTCTTTTTCCAAAGATTATGTGTGCATCCTCATGTCTAGTGTTTAATTCATTAAGTTCTAATCTTGTCTCCACCTGGTCTGCATAATCAGGAAGTTTTCTACAATCTGGTCATTCAAGCTGTAGACTGCCAGGTGCTGCCTTCTGTTACACATCCTGTGGGACTGGCATGTATCTCCCCTCCTCCTCCCACATACATCTCACATAATGGTTTGGAAGGAATAACTATAGAATTCTGGCTTCTGAGGATTCACATCATAGACTTCTTACGTCTGGTTCCTCAAATGCTGAGTCTGCTTCACAGCAAAACTAGTCCCACAGAGAGGATTTCCTCTCCAAGAGGATTGTTGTGGTGAAACCTGTAGAGTTACATTTCCAGTTGTTCAGTGTGGCAGGAGCCATCTGTATCATTCTGCCATTGTAGGGAGGATGGGTGCCTATGGGAGACCAACTGCACTAGTGAAGAAGTTACAGCTGTGCTGTAATTGCAATCCCCTTGTTTCACAAAGTTATGTTGTCACAGGCTAGATTTACAGCAACAAGGCTCAACAAATATATGATATTTTTACAATGAGAAACTAGTTTAATAGCTTAAAAGACAATTTTGTGAGTTGCGAATATCCTCTAAATGCATCACACACAGCCTCTTTGTAACTTGTTTTGATGGTTTAATGCCATCCAGTATTGGCTGAATGGGTTTAAGGTTCTTAAAACCTCTAGAATTAATTTTGGCCATTTTTTTTTTGGCAGCAATTTTGCTTAGAGGAGAAAGAATACACAGGCTATATTATCTGGGATCTGCTGGACCTCAGTTTGTTTGGGCAGCAGTGCTGGCCATCTTCCATGATGCTGGAGCTTCAGAAAAACGGCTTCTGCTGTGCTTGCATTGATTGTGCCATGTGGTGTTTCTGCGCTGTTGTGCTCTTGTCTTCTTTATGCTTTTCTTGCTGGAAAGATGTGAGCTGCAGACATGGAGGAGTGCATACGGTCACATCACACGACGTGCGTGCAGCCACATATCTCTGCAGCCATCATAACCCCAGCAGCTCTGCCATGTGTATCTATTTGTGATGCATAGCCTGCCAGCCAGGTGAGCAGTGCTATGAGGCACCAGGAGAGATCTTGTCATACTTCTTTTATAGCTCACCACAATCTCATGAGCTGACAGAGAAACCCCTCCTTTTTCTATGTTTATAGCTCTGCACTGCTCTTTACAGTTGATCCCAAGGTACTTTGATAACACTGACCTAACAGGCAATGTTTTGGCTGTTATCTAAAAATACAGTAATACATTTTCATTTGCAAGAGGTTTCCCCAGTGCGAGCTTTGTATACTAGACACTACTTTTTTTTTTTTTTTTTTGCTAATCATATTTATCCAGTTACAGTGTGTTCTAAATTGAGAAGTTATAGTGAAGGGAGGGGAGAGAGCAGAGATTTTGGTCTCCAGTGGTTGCCAGGAAGGCTGTTTGTGTTGCTGTGGTTGTCATAGGAACCTAGGCAGACAATTAAACGTTCCAAATGTTTTTCTAGAAGAATATAGCATTTTGGTTCCTTTTGAATATGGGGAACTTTGCAGCCAGCAGTGGCCCCAGGAGATGGAGAATGCCATGGAAATAGTGCAAGAATAATTTAGACCAAATCCAAGTCCAGCCTAAGAGCAGTGCAAGTAATGCACAATGGGTACACTTGTAAGATCATTCGCATAAGACAAAGAAAATAGATTGTTTTTGTTATTAATCAGTTGCATAAGCCTGACTCTAATACTGGGAAAACACGCAGAAGAGCATCTTGTCTATCATGCTGGCACAGCCAGTGCCTTGCAGCCCACGGTGTTGCTGAACTGGCTAACAAACAGCAGCTGGCATGCAAACCACGCTGCCTCCAGCTCTGCCCAGGGACAAGTAAAAGATGGCTGCAAGACAGCAAGTGAGTGTTCTTAAATTATTCATTTTGTTACAAAAGAAGAAGAGCAGTGTCTTCTCTTGCAGTGCATTATGAGAGTTCTCTGTTGGAATTCTGTTTTCCAGGGCCTGTGAAAGTTTTGTAGCTGGCAGCTCTATTCTCTTCATGAACACGCAATTATAAAATCCCCACAAAGCTGATAAAAATCGTTATCTCGGTTCTACAGATGGGAATGCAGTGGGAAAATTCCAATACGCAGCTCGGGTGGCATTGGGCAGAGTCAGTTTTTGGTCAGTGCCGAATGTGGAGGCAGCTGCTTTCAATTCTGCACTTCTGTAGTGTAACTGAAAACCCACTCCTTCCCCACAACTGCAGTTTCTACCCCAGTGCTCTCAGAAACCTTGAAATATCTCTCCATGTAATTACAATAACCCTGAAGGCCAGCCAACAGTACTCTAGAAAAAACTTTAAATTGCATTAGTAATCTTACAGCTGAATGAATAACTGTGGAAGGAAAGGAGGTACTAATAGTGCCTTGATGTGACATTAACCCTGATATGGGAATATTGTAGGTCCCCAGCAGGCCCACCCCTGTGAGCTAAATGGCTCTCATGAGCAACTCTGAGCAATCTCCTTCTGGGGAGAAAGATGCTGATTTTATACAGTAGACAATAATGAAGAAATAATAGCATCATTGCAGATCAGAGGCAAGTCTAGAAGCCATCCTGTCCACAGAATTAGCTGGCAGGTCTCCACAATCCCCCAAGGAGGAGGACTGGTAGCAGAAATCTATAAAGGAGAAGAGCTAAGTGATTTGCTTTCTTCTGCCATTTTTAACTTCATCAAGGAACATCTTTTTTGTCACGGGAGTTTAATGGCTGATGGAGAATCGTAGGATCACAGAACATTATGAGTTGGTAGTGACCCACGAGGATTGTTGAGTCCTGCTCCTGGCTCCACACAGCACCACCCAAAAATCAAATCGTATTTCTGATAGCACCGAACTCTTGCTGGATGAACTCCAGCAACTCGGGACCGTGCCCTGGGCAGCCCGTTCCGCGCCCACCGCCCCCTGGTGCAGCGCCTTTCCCGAGCCCCTTTTCTCGCCCCTCCCCTGACGCAGCTCCATGCCGTTCCCTCGGGCCCTGTCGCTGTCACACAGCAGAGCTCAGCGCTGCCCCTCGGCTCCCTGTGAGGAGCTGCAGCCGCCATCACGCCTCCCCTCGGCTCCTCTGCTCTGGGCTGAGCAAACACAGGGAGCTGAGCTTCTCCTCACACTCTAGACCCTTCCCCATCTTTGTTGCTGTCTTTTGGATGCCTTCTAATAGTTTTATGTCCTTAAAGTGTGCAGCCCAAAACTGGTCCCAGTGCTGAAGGTGAGGCAGTACCAGAGCAGGACAGTCCCTTCCCTTCATGGAATAGCAGTGCTGTAAACTGCAGTAAACTGGTTTTATTCAACAAACATGGCTACAATTACTTCTAGATTTAGACTTCCAGAAGGACAATAAAACATTCACAGAATATTCCTAACTTGAAGTTAGTGTAAAAGTTTACTTGCTTAGAAGGCAGAGAAACAGACAAGTATGTAATCT